CCGAGGCCGGGGTTAGGGTTAGGGTGATAGACCCCGGGCACGGCCCCGGCCCCGACCCCGCATTCTACTGTCCACCGTATGTTCTCTAGAAGTGGGTTCATTTCGGCCTGTTAGAAGACCTTTAGGGTGTCTAACGAATCATCAGTACTGGAAAAGTAAGGAATAAAGTTTCGTGCAAAATGATCAGAATTGTTTGATGCGTCTGTTCTGCTTATTCTTTAAACTCAGATTCGTCTTTAAGCTACAATTGTTACACTGTCAGGACAGGTGATGTAAAAGTACTCAAATCGCGCTGAAACTTCGTAAAAACAAAGACAACGACACCAGGTAACAATATTTACACTTTATTGATAACTTTTATCGCTTTTAGTTCATTTATTTCGTCTAAGTTTCATTTCCCATACAAACTCTTATTACGCTTGGGCCTCCTGTGCTTTGACGTGCAAATCCTAGCATTTCTCACCAGTTGAGACATATAAACACCACAGGCCGGTTTACTGGGGATGTTGCTGTCCATATGTGGAAAATTGACGATTCGAAATGCAAAGTCATCTCTTTTATCGTAGACGCTGACATGCAAAGGTGAGTTGTTGTCACCAAGTTTGATCCTTGCGTCGTGGCAACACACTTCAGGGGTTGATGTGGAAGTGTTCTTTAGTTCCAGTTCCGAAGGGTAAATTGTGCTGATGTAATTTTCAAATTACTCATTGTTAACGCTCAATAAATCGTCAATGTATCAAAAAGTGTTGCTGGACTGAATGGCTTTTGTCATATCTTGTTTCAAGGTGTTAAGCATAAAGTCATACTCGAAGGTGTGAAGAAACAGATCGGCCAACAAGGGTTTACTGTTAGTGCCCATAGGTATACCAGTATTAACTTTGCCGGAAAACGAAGTTTCCGAAGCGGACGTAGATGAGTCAATAGCGAGGCAAAGCTAGCCACAGGAGAAGTAAGAGTAGTTTCTATCAGACTTCCTATCATGATCATTCGTCCAGAAAGCGTGAAAATTATTAGTAGCGATGAAGCTCTTTGCTCTCCGGTGTTGAAGACTCCCTCCAACAATTCATGGAGTTGCTGTTTAAGTTTGGCATGTTTTAGGCTTGTATAAAGAGTTGAAAAGTCCCAGGTACTCATCTTAGTTAGTGAAAGTTGCCTGTCCTCAAGTGTGTGAAGAACGTCCAACGAGTTGTTGATTATTCACATGCAGTTCACTCCTGTTCTTTCTCGAATGGTTTTGCAATTGGGAAGTGCAGTGACATTCGACTAGCTTGAGACACTCAGTAATTAATTTAGAGAGCTTAATCCCCATATTTGACTCTGTATAAGATGGACATCACCCTAAGACGGACACTTAGTGCCGCTCCCAAAGCTGTCCGCCTGAGAGAAATGACTCAGTTAGAATACTTAGCACAGTCTACCCTATCTTAACGGACATCTCTATGAGACAGACACCTAGAGTTGGTCACTGCCTTCCTTTACTCCCCATATTTGACTCCGTACTGAAGATGGACATCACTCAAAGAAGAACACTTGTACTGGTACCAAAGGTGTCAGTCTTAGAAAATTACTCAGAATACTTAGCACAGTCAACCCCATCTTAACGAACACCTCTATGAGACAGACACCTAGAGTTGGTCCCTTCCTTCCTTTACTCCCCATATTTGACTCCGTATAAGATGGACATCACTCTAAGACGGACACTCAATGCTGGTCCAAAGGTGTCCGTCTTTAAGAGAGTTGACTGTACCTGGTGTTGCATGCTGACCCGCTATGAACTGGGTAGTACTGGTCTCCTAAAGCACCTTTTGGACACTGATTAGCTTCCCTTTTTTGATAGCAGCCATAAATGACATGTTTGTAGGCAAGGTTTATTGCAAGCTCAAGTTTATGCACTAGCCTTTAAAGGAAGGCAGTGACCAACTCTAGGTGTCTGTCTCATAGAGGTGTCCGTGAAGATAGGGTCGACTGTGCTAAGTATTCTAACTGAGTCATTTATCTAAGACGGACACCTTTGGGACCAGTATTAACTGTCCGTCTTAGAGTGATGTCCATCTTATACAGAGTCAAATATGGGGAGTAAAGGAAGGCAGGGATTAACTAAAGGTGTACTGACGTTTTACCGTCGTGTCCGTCTTATATGTCACATGTAAGGGAATCCAAGACAGTCTTGAATTCCGGATTCCAGGTACTGGACTCCAGTTTTTGTCAGACCCAGGATTCTGGACTCCAATCGTTTACTTAGTGGGATTCCGGATTCCTTGAGCGGTATTCCGGATTCCAAAACCCAGAATTCCAGATTCCATTAGTAAGATTTTCCCAGATTTCGGATTCCAAAAGCAAAAATTTCCCGGATTCCGGAATCCGAATTGCCTTACACGAGGTGAGTCTTATATAGAGTTGTCAGTTAAGAGAGAGTCGACTGTAAAGGGCTGTTTCTTGTTGCTAGGGAAACTATTGTTGGTTCCGGCTTCTTGTCTTTTGGTGTGGGTGTTGTCAGTGCATTTGCAATCTTTTATTTTACGTCATTTGGCGATTGGATCTGTTCGCAACACCAAGATACTACCAGATAAAGATTTCACGATATTTACCGATAACTGATTATATCACGTTTACATTTCTTTCAGATTTGGATTTCTTCCTTTTTTTTTTAGACTGCGAGCAGTCCTTCTTCAGTCAGTCAAGTCTAAGCTCGGCAGGACTGGAGAGAGCGAAATGGCCGAGAGGGAAGCTTCCCCTCGGCTTTCGCTCGCTTCGCTCGATTTCCTCGCTCGCGCTTTCCTCGCTCGCGTGACCATCCTAAGGGACCGTTCGCAGTCTATTTTTTTTTCTTCTTTCGCCCTTACAAAAACAACCTTCGCCTGCCACGCAGGCTATATCAGGTTTATCAGATCATCAGTGTAAATAGAGGTTGGAGGACAATAGATACAATAGAACAGTGAAGAGTCAATGGACCACTGTGGAACATGTGTAAACTGAAACTGCAATATTGCAAGGATGAAATATAACGCAAAATGATACGGTTTAGTACACTGAAACACTCACTGCTTAAAAGGTCCACACCAGAAAAATATGATATGTTTTAGCACCATTATGGGCTCCTGGCACCATCGAGTATATAAATACATGCATCGTAAGGAGGACAGAAATGGCAATTTCGAATTGACTGAGGCGAAAATAATGCCTAGGTGCAACAGGCATAAACTACTGAGAATGTAACAGGGGCACCCGGCGAGAATATAGTTCAAAACCACTTAAACATAGCCCTGTTAAACGTATTTTAGTATTTAAACGGTAGATATAGGTATATTTTTATCCGCTAAAAAATTTTTCATCTGTTCGGATTTCCTAGCTGAAAGTCTAGTGATCCGAAAATTATAGGGATCAAAACTTACCTTTTCGAAAATTTCAGCCAGAAAAAGGCTTCTGAAAATTCTAGGTGACCTTTTTAGGGTAAAAATCCGTTAAAAATGGGCAATTATACCATTTTTTAGACGTTCGAAAATCCTAGGAGAGGCAGGCAAGCCATAAATTTTACAACTAATGTTCCGAAAATTCTAGATCTCAAATCGTCTTCCGAACAGATATTTTCTGAAAATTGACGTTGGGTGCCCCTGATGTATGGTATAATTCTCGCCTACCGGTTTATATTATAGCTTTTATTAAGATCATCAAAAAAGGAGTTGTCAGACATAGCAGACACTATAAGTTTAATAAATATTTAACTGCTGCAGTTTGGACTTGACGTTATTGGAATAATGCAAAATAAATTGTTGGTCACTAACTTCTTTACCGTTGAAGTTGTTACGCCTACTATAAAACTTGAAAAACGTCGCGTGTGGTTTCTGCGCGTGACCCAATAGACTTTGGTAACTTTGTTTGTATTTGGTCATTAATACCTGAAGGTGGTTACAAGGAGAACAAGACAAAACTAAAACTAGCAATCTAGCAATAATGATATTGTACAGTAGAATACAAAATTTTTTCTAACTGAACATTAAAGGCGAATAAATGAAGACTTCCGTCTCAAATAAGCCCCCTCCCACTAATACGCTCCTCCCCCCTTTTCAGGGGAAGAAAGTTAATAAGCCCCCTCCCCCCCCCCTTATTATTCTTCACTAATAAATAATAGACTGTATTAATCAATCACGACTGTAAAACTTCGAGTGGACTGATCCGGGATGGTTTATTTACCAACTGGAAGTTCTGATTTGATTCTGATCCTTGGCTGCATTAGCCTGCGTAGCAAGTGCTTCCAATCGACTTATTGGACGAGAGTTAGAGCGGGAGTAATTTTTTTTTTTTTTTGCTCTCGTCCCAACTTTCTCGACGAACTCGCGTGGAATCGCTGGTTCCGGCTGCATGACCTAAAACTTCTTGTACTTGAGATTTCCCACTTTATTCTAGTTCTTTATGGAGAACTGCAGGATACCATCGTCGTTTCTAAATTAAATAAGCCCCCCCTCTCAAATAAGTCCCCCGTCTCTATTAAGCCCCCCCTTCCCCCTTAAATGGGCTTGAAATAAGTAAGCCCCCTGGGGGGCTCAGTAGAGGATTTACGGTACTCTAGGAAATGTGACAACAAATTCTAGATTTGAAACTAGTCAGTGCACGTGACGATGCCTTTCTTATGAGTCCGGTGAAGATGGTTAACTGTTCCAAAATACCGCTACACTATAACCGAAACTTTTTTTGAAAAGTTATTTTGGAAGCTTATCACTTTGTTTGACTATATTCTGCCTTTTACTGTTACAATAATATAGTAGCTTAAATCTTACGGATAGCAGGATACTTACCAAATATAAACCTGACAACTACAACAGCTTTTCACTCAGTGGAAAGCTCATGGCATAAATATATTCCTAAGCTGATCACGCCTTTATGTTTTATGTGTTTTAGAATAACTTAATTCTGATCATACATTCTTGTAATTCGATTTTAGTGTACATTATTTTCCACATACACCGTTCAATAAAATCCATAGATCACCCGACACCAGAGTGGTATAGATGTACTTGTTGTAAATGGGTCATTTTACATTGTCGCATACGCCTTTGCCGCATCTTCTCGCGGTCCCTGGGATTCAGCAAGGAATTCGATTGCATTCGCTTCCATACAAGCGCGGTAACCCTCTCTATGATACGCTGTAAACATGGCAGGTGTATAGAACTGATTGGCTGTTGAATGCTGGGGAAACGCACCACACATCCACTCTGACAAGCCTCGACACTTGACACCATGACAACCCTCACAGCAACAAAACGTCAGACGATCGACTTCTTCTCCTGACAGCTCTGGACCAGGTCCCCAAAGGCCAGCTTCGAGATCAACGTCAATGTCACGCAACACCTCTCCCCAAGTTTCGTTTGCCTTCTTTTGCACTGTCTTGTCGGGGTGTCGGGGAGCGATGAAGAGTATATCACCTTCACCAACTTTCGTTTTACCATATCCGCTGGGATCCTTGTCGTAGTAGTGAACTTTAAACCTAAGAAATAATCACCAACTTCTCATTTCACAAAGGTAAATGTATACACGATCTAGAAGGAATGGTTCCTTGCTAGGGAATAAAGCGGACTAGAGCCCCGGGGGAGGGGGGGGGGGGGGGGGGAGGAGAAAAGAAAAAAACCGGCCGTTAAACCCCCCGGGGGGGGCCCTTCCGAAATTTAAGCTCTTTTTTAAATTTAGAATTGGGTTTTTTCTTGTTTTTCACGGAGGGTTTTTTTAATATTTGTTTTTTATTTAATCATTGAAAAAATCCCAAAAAAACAACCCACACTTTACATTTTAAAAAAGTAAAAGAGACAAAGGAACAGGAAGGAAGGGTTCCGGGGGGGGGAAAAAAGGGGAGGGGGGCCCGGGGGGGGGGGGGGGGGGAGGCAGGACTAAAGCAAATAACTGACTGTCAAACCTCCCGTGAGTGCTCATTCGCAATGTTAAGACTCTTTTTAAGTTACGATATGGTTAGTTCCATGTTATCACTGAGAGGTCTTCGTATATACTGTTATTATATACATACTGAGAAATACTCACCAAAAAGCTATGTCGTAAATTTTCGTACGCAAATTAGTTCTAGCCAATCAGAGGAGCGAACGATGGTTTTCACACGTGAAAAAAATGATACGTCCAATCAGAATCGCGAACGATGTTTTTTCACGTGTGAGAAAAATGATACGTCCAATCAGAGGCCACAGAGGTGTGTGAGTTTCGCGCCAAAATTCCCGCCTCTTATTGCAGTTTGCAGCGCCGCTTCGCACACATTCAACGAGAAAAATTTTACTCAAAGAGTTTTTTGCTAAAAAAGTGAAAAACATTTCGGAAATGGAGTGGAATAGTTTCGTTTGTTTCACTGTCGATAAAGAAAACGGTAGAGAGCCGGCGAAACAACAGCGGAAAGGGAAAAACAGAACGAGACGTAAGCTTTTGTTGTGCTTTTTGTCGGAGCTACTTTGCCTTTCATTTAAGCTTAAGCTTATATTGAAACCGGCCATTTTACTTAAATTTACTCATTTTCAATTGTGCATTGACAACAAACAGTTAAGATTACTTATAGTTCTTGGATTACCTCATATCCTTACCGTCATTTATGTTTTTAACAAACGTTTGTACTAAAAAGCTGATACTTCGTTTTCTTTGTCATTTTGCGGCAAGTGTGTAGCGGCAAATAAGCATTTTTGAAAGATTTAAAATAAAAAGGCCGCCAAAATGATGAATGTCTCGGTATGTATATAATAAACACAATACCACATGGAAAGTGCTTTGTACGATATTTACGCACTCGTTTTTGTATCAGAAATCTTACTCGTTCGCTGCGCTCACTCGTTCGATTTCTGATACGTCAACAACTCGTGCGTAAATACCGTACGCCAGCACTTTCCATGAAGTATTCTCTATATGTTCTGAGTAGTATAGTACGGGAGGGGGGGGGGAACTCCTGGGAATTCTTGGTGGGGGTGTGCCGCCCGGTTCTCCAAATCTTGACCCTATTTCAAACCAGAAAATGTAATTTTCCACACCCGTTTTCAAACCATACCTCTAAAATCCATACCCGTTTTCAGACCTGGTCTTTAGGCAGAAATTATGTTATCGTTACTTCGATTAGAGTGCAGACAAAAAAAATCTCCAAATTCATTTCGAATTCGCATATTTCTCTTTCTTTCTTACTCATCTGGAATTGAAACGATAAATACGTTCATAGGTACACTCCCGCAGTTCACTCAAAAACCATACCCAGACAAAAATGGGCAAAGTGCATACCCGTTTTCAGAACAAAACGACGCAAAAACGGATTTCAAGAGCAGTCTACTTTAGTTTAATGGAAAGAGGTTTAAACAATGGAGAATAGTAAAATCGTCATCCCAAAAAATAATCGGGGTCGCTTATGATAAATGGTCATTTACAAAAGATTCCAACAAGGCTTTGACCGGGAAATTGGTGTTTTATATTAGTAGTCGCTTATGGGAGGTGGTCGCTTACGAGAGATTGTCACACATTAAGGTTCAACTGTCCGAAACTGTATTACCCATCCCAGGTTAATTAAATATTCGCATTTTGATGGTTTTAAGCGCCATTACATGAACCTTCTCGCTACTTATTTTCCCGCACAAAAATTCTACACGTTTAAAGATTTTTACTTTTAAATTACCGGTAACTGCTTGGCTGTGATCCTGGAGGTTGATTCACAAATTTGTCTTGTATATCCTCCGCAATGTCTCGTCCATCCATTCCCGAAAATGAACAACCTAGCTTTTTTCTGGCCATATCGAAAGAGGCCAATAAAGTTGCACCATAAGCTTCGTCACAAATTGTGCGTCCACCATTGACGACAACAATCTTTTTCAGTCTTAGCTTGAGAAGAGGAAGGATCCCAAGGTTTTCAATATGGCCGCCATCACTCAGGCGTAAGACGGGCGGTGGATTGGGACCTAGATTCGTCACACCAATGGTTTTACGGACAAAGCTGACGTAAGCGACGTTTATGGTGAACCATCTACAAAGAAGCGATTGGTTAGTCGTTAGGGTTAAGTAAGCTTAGTAACATTTGACCCGTTCTCTCAATTCAGGAAAGGTAAGTACCAGGAACGGTCTTTATTCAGCACGACTTTTTTAGAGGGAAGGAAAATCGAAAAATCATGCCCTATATTTATAAGAAAAAACAGAAAACGCAAGATTGGATAAACAGATTGTGTATGTTTCTGCAACTGTTATTGGTGTTGCTTTTTATGATTCTTTAACCAAGACTTTTTTAAAATAAGATACAATGACCCGGCAGTTGAGGTTTCATGAAAGTTACTACTTTGGTCTAGTGCTCTTATAGGTATCTTGCGATGGGACCACAATCCTGATTAAAAAGTAGAGCCTGTTTTAAAGACTGGGTACCTTGATATCGATGATACCATTTTATACGCGTGGCATGCACATACCTATTTCCAGTAGCTTGAATATGGGAGGTCCACTGGATCTTAGCACCCTGTATCTCCGTTTTGACGGTGATAAAACACTCTGCCTAGTATCCACCTCTTTCAACTTTTGAATTAAATTTGTCTCTAGGCCAAGGGCGACGTCCTCCGTGGGTTAACTCTTATTTTATCATTGTGTTTATAAAATATTGGGTTAATGATACAAACTTCAAAACTTAAAAACAAGTTAGTATTTCAACGTCATTTGTCAAGTGAACGAAGTAATCTACCTGGCAATCCGTTCCAGTCGTCCCGGATTTTTGCTGCCAGTGGGTATTAGTGCGGTGAGCGTGAGTAATATCAGCAGACCAAAGAACGTCAAGATTCCAATAACCAAGTACCTTCTCCGACCAGTTTGCCAGTAGAGAATCAAACAAAGCATCAGTGGCAGGATACGAAGTACTTCTATGACAAGCGGCAAAAACTGAGAAAAAGTAATTAAAAACAGAGAAATTATTAATGAGGTTTTGTTAGGGGGAGGGGTGGGGGGATTTACTTTTCCCTAGTCTGAATCTCAAAGGCTCTCGCTTCTCGTGTTGAGGAGGAAGCCATGTCCCTGTCGGTATTTTACTACAATTGTATTTGCGCAGGGTGGCGCAGTGGTGAGAGCGCTCGCCTAACTTCAATGTGGCCCGGGTTCAACTCCCGGCGTCGACGCCATATGTGGGTTTAGTTTGTTGTTGGTTCTCTCCCTTGCTCCGAGAGGTTTTTCTCCGGGTACTCCGGTTTTCCCCTCTCCTCAAAAACCAACACTTCCAAATTCCAATTCGATCTGGAACGTACGAACACGTTTAAACGAGTTCATATGAACTCCTATGTGTGCTTCGTGGTTAAACAAGCAATTTACAATTTTAATTTTTTTTTGTGCATTTCATCGTCGCTGTCGCAGTTTTCGCCCATGTTTGTGCCATTTGTCGCCATTTTATCTGTCTTATGTCACTGTTTCAAGTGTGCTGCATGTGCAAAGTTGTATTTTTGCTTATCAGACCAATTGCCGTTCTCGTTGCCGTCGCCGTTCTGAGCATGACAGGATGTAACTTTTCCATTGAGTACACTATAAGTATGTTAACGAGAGCTTCGCTTTTAGCCTTGGCTTAATCTATATATATTACGCTAAGTACATCAAACAGAGCTCTAAACCAACAACAGCCATTACTCTGACCCAGGTCCCCAAAAGCCTGCCGTCGTTGTCACGCAACACCTCTCTGAATGTTTCGCCGTAATCCTCACTCCTCGTATCCTCCCACGCAGGCGTTTTTAGGGGAGCTCGTTTGTGGGGAGGGTTGAAAAACAAGCTCCGCTAAAAACGCCTGGGTGGGAGGCTACACTCCTCGCCGCTAGGGATGTTTTTCCACCCGAGAGGAGGAGGAGGTGAGGAGAGACGGCAGTTTTTCAGGCTACTTTTGCAGTGGCGGATCCAGGAGGAGGGGCCCGGAGGAGAGAACGGGCCCCCTACTTATCTAAGGGTCTGGACGACTGCCCACCACCCCTTTCTCAGGGTCTGAATCCGGGCACTGTTTTGTAATGTCTTTTGCGTGGCACAGAACTACATAAATGAAGTAATGTAAAAATGGCATGTCAAATCTTCAGTCAATCAGTCATTTTATTCTAGATTAAAAATGTTTATTTATCCACCTGGATTAAACAATTCCTTTTTCCCTCGTGCCTCTCGTCAGCAACGACCGCCGTCCCCATCGAGATTCCAAGCATAACCTTTAAGTCTTTAAAGGATGCGTCATCTCCTTCATAGGCTCCCATGTGATGATCGACAGCGGCAGCTGACGTTGCCATTGCGTCAGATAAGAACACATCCATAGGCATCAACTTGCCAACAAACTCACTTTCGTGAAGAGGTCGGTCCAGTCGTTCAATTCCATTTGGCGACATCGTTAAGAGTTCATACTCTAGTTCTTTAGGGGAGGTGGTTCGTCGCCATTTATTGACTGTGATCCCGCCTATGTAAATGGGCTTTACGTCATCAAGGTCCTCCAAGGTCAGTGCTCGGCTGAGGTTGATGCGCTGCATGTGTGGACTGCACGTTGGGCAACGCAAGAACAGATCTCGCCATGATATTCCTCCACAGCCCCATGTACCTACGCTTGACGGTGTATAGAAAGCTCTTTGGATACGCCACCTGTGTCAATTAATTATGTAGTTTAGGGAAAACGTTAGCACTCGGTCAACAAATCCTGTATATTGTTATAATTTAATTTTTTTAATATACAATATTAACCAGGAAAAGAAACGTCGGGCAAAGGTTTGGCTTATTATGATTTCAGCCTTGGTGAAATAAACCTGTACAACCACTACTTGTCAAAAAAAATTATATTTATCCGATCATAAACTCAATCCCTTTACTCCTATGCTCTATGTTTGCTTTGAGGACTCTTAGCGGATATTTAAAGGATTTTATTAATGAGGACATTTGAAGTATGAAGATATCAAATAGGAAAACTTAACGTTTTTTAAAAGATCAAAAATACTATTTTCAGGTCTGTATGTTTCGTTGACTAGTTTCTAGGACTTAGAAGATATTATAAAGTCGCCCCAACATCTTTCTGAAAATAAACTGGTCGGTGAACACGCCGTGACACAAGCGCATGTAAGTTGCTCTCTCCGGAGTTATGGGCTCCAGAGTGCACTGATCCAGTCTGTACTTAAAGATATGAGGTCTCCTCTAATAATCTCAAATTAAAAATTTGATTTGTATGTGTAATCAAATGGTGACGAGTGAAATTAGGGAATAATTTCACGCGCGTTTTGTCCAAATCGTAATAATTTCCCGAGCCTTTAGGCGAGGAAAATTATTACGATTTAGACAAAACGCAAGTGGAATTATTCCCTAATTTCACGAGTATACCATTTGATTACCTATTAATATCACAGGTGACGAATTACGTTAGCAATCTTCGATCTTTTACATGTTTATCCTGGATCGTATCGATCGAGAACTCTACTCTCTCAAACGTTTAGACCTTAAATTTGACTTATAAAATTCAGAAATTTTCAGAATTTTTCGGCAAGATACCTGTTAGAATCCTCCTTGATGTTCTCTTGAGTGTTCAGGTTTTCTAAAGCGTCTTTTTGTGCCCTGACATCATCATTCACGGCGTTTTAGAACTTCGTCGCCATCTTGACACTGAGTTGTACGAAAGGGTTGCCATGGCAATTTTGTAATTTCACATGTGAAATTATAAATTAACGCTGAAATTTCGCGCCAAAATTAAGGAGTAATTCGTCACCTATGATATTATCTTGATAATTTTTTCTCGAGGCCAAAGCTGATTTTTCCCTTAATCTTAAAAAAGTTTGAAATTATTAATTATCACAATAAACGAAACTAACCTATTGTAAACGTGGCCAATGCGCTGCTGTATTGTTCCTATAATAGGCGCAATCCACAAAAGAACAGTAGACACACCCATCAGAGAACTGAACAACTCGTCATTGTACTCTAAGCTGAATACGCGACCATTGAAAACTTTCCAGTTAATTACAAAGGAGTAGATGTAAATCACAAGAACGAGAGTGGCATTCTTGCGCATGAGCGGAAACGAAAACCAAAGAAAAAATGTGGGCAGGATGATAAGAAATTTCATCCACATTGGAATCAAGTGAAGAAATTCGTCAATGAACCAAGGAATGAAAACCAAACCAAAAAAGACGAAACCGGACGTAGAGAGGAATGTGAACAGGCCTTTTCCTTTGGTAAATAAACCTTTGATGGCACTGGATAATACAGCTACAACAATAGGTGCTGCAAACAGGGCGAATTGCTTGTAAATAATAGGGGAGGTAAGTCGTTCTACACGGCATTCTTTAATGGTCATATTTGGATTCCGTTGGACCACCTTTGAGCAAGGTTTACCTCCGCCACGAAGAATCTTTCCAAACAAGAAGTCGATCACAAAAGCAAGTGGACATGCGTAAGAAGACCACAATAGAAAGGGGATGATTAAGGCCACAAATACTGTCATCGTGAACAGTATGACAGAATCCAGAATTCCTTGGCAGGGCTTTTGCCAATTGCAAAAGGCACCGCTTCGACTTCGCAGATGCTCGAAGAATTCCCGATGCCACTCTGGCGAGTCCTTTTTGCCATTCCGGTACTTCCAGTCCAAGTACGCAGTACCTGTGTAACCACCCCCTGACACGCAGCTTAGGAAATCTACATTGGCTTTCTTCTGGAGTAGTCTGCGCAGGACACCGGAACAGAATGACGCTGACCGGATCCCACCACCAGAGAATGCTAATCCAACTTTGGCCATAACGTAATAGATTGTTGTAGCTTATTTCTCTGCAGAAAGACCGATAAAGAAGAAAAAAACGTTTATTGTACCAGACAGACTTTTCAGATGTGTATAAAGCCATTTATTCAGATTTTGAATTCACACATCTATCTATAATTACAAATATCTTTTATATCTATTGATACCGTCTAGCCTGGCCGCCTCTCCCCCTCAACTTTATTCAGGGAGACTTGGAAGTACCTCAAAGATGGCGTCCGCCTCGGCCGTGCTGACCAAAAAGATCGCAAGCTATGGATTGTTCAATTACATACTTTCGATTGACACTAGTAGCTAAACAAGTGAGACTCGATATTAGAGTAGAAGAGAATACGTAAACACGCGGAAAAAATAGATAAGTCGTTTGAGAAAATGTCACATGAAAAATGCTCAGCTTTCGTCTCCCTTTTACTAGTGTTTCAACAAACTTGTATGGCCAAGAGATGGCTCTTATTTGACCCATGCGGGAAATGTGCACCCTGAATGAGGGTCTCAATGGGGTGGTGGCTTTTACGGTTATCGGCTAAAACTTTGGCTCTTTTACGGCTATCGGTTAATTTTTTTCAGTTACGGTTAACGAAAAAGTTAAAAATTAACTTCTTTTGTTCCAAAAAGTTAAATATTAATCAACCTGTATTTTTTGTATCTTTAAATCAAAACAAAGGTCTTTGGATCATCTCGGGATGAAACAACCTATTCTTTTGAAAAATTTTAACATTTGATAGATCATACTTTTTATAAAGTATTTCTCTTCTAATATAATTTTACACATAGAAATGTCAATAGTCAATTTAAAAATAATCCGTTGTGAAAAAGAAAAGCAGACACGCAAACGCCCAACTTAAGGCCAGGGCGCGACATTCTAATATTGTCTTTACCGGCAAAAGTGTGATCTCTGCCTAATAAACACACTCTGCCCAATAGGCAAACTACTAAGCGCAGTCTATCCATTATGAAGAATTAAGCTTTTACCTTATCAAATAATTTTGAGTGAGCAATCCGCCTGTCTTTATCCGTCATTTTCGACGGACAGTTTGTAGACGGGATTATCCGTTCGAGAAAGCCTGTGTACAGCCGCCCCCTACCTCAGAAAAAATCGGAGAGTGGGTGTCTGTGGGGAGGGCGCGACTGTACACAGGCTAGCCTCAGACGGATAGTCCATTTCTAGCTCTGGCGTGAAAACGACCTATAACAAAATTCCCGTGTCCAGTGTTTTTAATGATAGCGAAGGACTGTATGGAACGACTGTCTGCCGTTGCCTTGTTCGTGGGCCTCATTATTCCGGCCGGCTAATGCGTTTCGGGTCACGTGGTCCATGCGAGTTCGCCACCAAAATACCTTGACCGAAATTGCGTGGGAAGACGCCGTACAGGGACTGGGCATGGCAATGTCTACCGTAGCGTCAGAGGAAAACAGGGAAATATTGTTCATCGGCAACGTGTTTTACAAACAGTGACATCTCTGCGTGTTGTTTCACCAGTGTTTCAAGGGCTCGACCTCCTGAAAATCGCAAATATTAATCCCCAACAAGAAGCCACACTTTCGCTATGGAAAAAATTAGTTCCCCGAGAGAGCGGCGAAAATGGAGCCTAGGTCTTGGTCAACACCTAAAAGGCGCTTCGCCTAACGTGCGTATGGAGTCACACTGGCCGGGAAATAAAAAACGCAATCATAAGTGAGGGAATCTAGGGAAAAGTATCTTTTACGGTTAACTCTTTTTTACTCTATTTACGACTAACGGTTAAAATTTTTCAATTTTTACGGCTATTGACTAAATTTTGGGCCGTTTTACGCCTATCGGTTAACCCCATTGAGACCCTCTGAATGTTTGGCAGTTGTAAAGAGACAGGGATCAAATATGCAAATACCTTCGTGTCAAAATACACGACAATGGTCATGCTCGCTTAAGATTTATATAAGTGGAGTAAATACGACATGTGTTAACTGTGTTAAGGCATCGGTTAATTTGACGGAGTTCGTTCATTCGTTCACTTTTTTAGTAATGAGGTTGTTCGCCAGTTTTGCTCACATCATGACTGTATACATTATGATAATACACTATATATTTTGATGAAGCGTTGCAAATAATGTTTAAACGAGGCCGGTTTTAAATGTAAAAAGTAGTTAACTAAATCCAGGCAAGAAACCGCGGTATTTGCTTTTTTAATCATTCACTCTTCGGGCTTTTATAGGTACGATGATGCAACCAGCTCGACTTACTGTTGCCTAGAGCTGATTTACTGCATTCATCGCGTTTTAATAATAGCGTGAGAAACGAAGACTGAATTGATTAAAGATAAGAGTTAGAAATATTAACAGCTTTACTTGTTTTCCTTGGCTAATTTATATTTCTGCACATTTAAAGGTCCTAAATGAAAACAAATTTAAAGGTCAACTCACCTCAATGCCGGTTTTTCAGTCTGCTCCCTGCGACGCCTGCCGATTCGCGTTGGTGAACTTAACAAAACAACTTTTTCGCGTCTTTCTTTTCGGTTGAGTGAATTCCAAGCATATCAACTGGCTTCATTACAGCCTTAGGAATCCCCGTGGGAATATTTTGAAGTCTAAAAAACAAACATATCTGATGAAACGAGAGACTCAGAAACTGGGAGGGTAGCTGCAAGGATATTTTTGAAGAATAGTTACGTAATACATGATATGCTCCAATACTTCAGGGGCACCCAACGACTGTTTTCTGAAAAATATATGTTCGGGGAAGTAAATATTGTCTACTAGAATTTTCTATAACTTGAGGATGCCTAAAAATTTCTACATGATCGTTCCGCTCATGTACAATTTTCGACGCTTGTCTTATAAATTCCCTACGTTTTTCTGAAGTATAATTTTTAACATTTTACATCCCAGGTTAGGCTATTTTTCGTAAGAAAGAGGAAAGCTAAAATTTTCGGATTCAAATATGCAGAATATGTGATGGGGAGGGGAATCAGAAAAATTCGCACTTTCGTAATGCGTTGAATTGCCTCGAATTGCCTCTAAAATTTTCGGGAAAATAATACTGAAGCCTTTGTAATTTTGAAAAGACTCAAGTTCCCCTAGGATGACCGAACAGACACAAATTTTATGGCGCCGCTTAGAGTGCTTTTCTAGAGATCTAAAAGTATTCTGGGTACACTAAAAAGTGTTTTCAACGCATTTAGAAGGAAACCGTCGTTGGTTGCCGCTGATACTTATGCAATTTAGTGACCGAAAGCAACAACGAACCACAGCATTCCGGGGTTTGAAAGCGCTCCACAGGAATTTTTCCCTCTGGGGACTGGCGTACTCAACGAAGTTTGTAAGGGAGGGCTCCGCATCGAGGTCCAACCTTGCCTTTTTATAAACCATTTTTACAGAAAAGATACCTCTTTCGTATACCTTCTGCTGACCAATGGTACCCAACATAGCTAGTTTAGAACACTGCATCCCCTGAATTAACTGCGGTTGATATTACTACATGAGAAATTTTTGCAATTTGATTAGCTTAGAGAGGTGGAATACCTAGTAGTATAAACAAATAATAGCATGATTTGTACGTGATATTTGGCATAAATACCACTCGTGATATTTCAAAGTTGTCTCAATTTCACTCGCCTAACAGATCGTGAACATACGTACAACAATTTTGAAATATCACTGGTGGTATTTATGCTAAATATCACTACAAATCATGCTATTACCTATACAAATGCACTGTCGTTTTAATATGAATTAATTATTACATCAGGACGTTTTCTTGTCTCCTTCACAGCCATTGAATGGGCCTGTTAGACCTTTTGGCCCTTTAAGAAACCGAAATGACAGATTTCTCCACCATTTCATTTACTTCAACTAGCGAAATCCCTACCCCGGCCCCTTTATGGCGGAGCATCCCCGTAATTTCCGCTTTTTAGGAAGTACCCCCAGGGAATTTTTCCCGGCGAAAGTTGCGGCAGTATTAGAGAAAACAAAAAATTTAATCCATGGTTGAATTCAGTCCACCATTCTCAATGTGCGACAGAAAGTCTCACAATCAATACAGGGAAGCTTAACAAAGGCGTTTTTGAGCGAGTAGTCGCACGTCACTGACGTCAAAGGACGTGAGGTCTCTTTCCCTTTAATATGCCTTGACGCTACTAAACTTGTATTATGATTGCTTAGCGTCTTTAATCATATAATCATAGAAATGTTCTGCCCAAAAATTTGGGCAAACCACGCTACCTTACAAAATTGAAAAGGTAATTCAAAATACAACAATAACTCCGTGGGCGTCCTTTTTCCTCTCTCCAACCTAAACTCTCCTTCTTTTTACCTTTAATTTGCATGCTTAATTTTGCTGTTTCGCTCGCCGCAATGGCTCTGACGCAAGAAGGTCGACCGCTCGCGGTCTAGCTAGCAAAAAGACACTTCCGGTTGACGCCTTAGTCTCTCAAAATTACGTCTTTGCTTAAGCTCCCTATAATCAACGTAGGCGAAATGACTGAAATACAAGTGTAGGTGAAAGCAATCAAAAAAGCCACGTAACACATGTGCAAGGTAAAATCCGTTAGTCATAAGTAAACACAAACGTCACTTTTGCAAGTTATTAGAGGAGTCTACAACAGTTTATTTCGTTGTTATATGTCAAACTCACACAAACTTACTCGTCTGTGGCTTTAGTTTACACGTGGACGTTAGTGGGTAAATATCATGCGGATAGAGTAAGCCTAGAAGTTTGTGAGTGGAAAAACGAGTGAATATTGCCAAACTTTGTAAAAACGGGTTTTCTACGTCTACACGAGTTCGTTATTTATCCATTTAACGAAACTGGATACGTTTTTAGGTGTGAACGAATGCTGTGGGCGCATAAGGTCTTCGAAGATAATAGTCACATGGTACGAAAACACCGACCGCATTTCTGAGACGCAAAATGATGCATTAAGACCTTAAAAAATAGCCTGTTTTAGCCGTTTAGATTGTGAGGACGGCGCGAAAAGGTAAGAACAGGAAAAACAGGGAGCGGTTGAGCTCTGAACTCCTGAAACAAGCAACGGGAATAAAGAAAAATAGCATTTTAGGTAATGTAATCCTTGCGATTTTCTTACCCCATGCTCTACGTCATTTGCGTACCAGCAAGGTGTTTTTGTACCATGTGAACATTTATCTGAAAGCGACATTTGCATTTGGCGACAACCAGAAGGAGATTTTCTCGAGTAGCGCGCGCGAGCGTGTGATCCAACGTCATTTTGGAGGGAAAACGAGATAGCCGTTGTCATTCTACTGCGGGTTTTAGGGAAAATGTTATCAGATATTAGAAGATATGAAAGTCTTGTCATTTTGCGATCGAGAGAAGGCTTAAACTCTTTCAATAAAAGTAACCATGTTAACTTTTCTGGTGAAAAAAAAATACCGGGATCTCTATGTTTTTGACGATACGCGAAAAAATATTTTAAGTCAAATCTTGTCTCGTGATCGACCTCCTCCTCGAATCTAAAGGTCTCTAATATAGTAGAGCATCAACCTCGTCCCCAGGGTTTTCTCGCTTTCCAATATGGCGGCGGTACTACTTTACCTTCGCACCATGAGGAGAATGGTACCTAAAGGCCGGCCGTGTCTGGGGAGCTTATGTAGCCACAAGGAAGATGGCAATAAAATCGTCACTAATAAAATCAATTTGCGTTCATTCAAATTATATGCCGTTTATTTGGCTCCCTCGATTTGTCAAATGGAGGAGAATTTCCTTTAGTTGTTCTTAAGGACTATATCTTCGTTTAAATAGAGAAAGTAAAATACGTCTTCGCGTGTTCGAGTCCTCCATAAAACGTTAAACTTCAACGTTCACTTCGCTTTGTTTCTTTTTACCAAGCGAATAAATAGGTACAGTGGGCATGTTACCTGGGTAAACATAGCAATGGGCTAACATGCCCTCGAGGGCTATGGGCTTCATTGTACTGATAGCGGAAAAAGCCTCGGGAGGCGTGGGCCTCATGGCCGTTACCTTCACTATACCTAGTTCCCAGGCTTCATCATTCACCGCTTCTTGAGGGTTAATGGTCACGAGGTCTGAGTGCTCGGTTACGTCATCGAAATGCATCGACCTAAAAAGACCTAATTTCTTGATCCTTTTTCTACTGATACAGTGCATGAACACAGAGAGGGACTTTACCCACTGTCTTCATCTGCGGACACTCATAAGTGAGCCCTAACTATCACCTCAAGATGTTGTCTCAATCAATCAATAAATCAATCATATACTTTAACACGTTGAGTCAAAGAGCTAAAAAACTCGTTCAAAATACGAACGTGTATAAATAAAATCTATAATAATTACAACTATATAATATTATTCTATTTTAAAAACAACTCAATAAATAGATACATATAAAAAACTTGGTATTAAAAACATAAAATATAAAAAGCAAAAACCGACTAAAAAGCCACATACTAGAAACATGACTAGCAAAACTATAATACCCGTTGTAAAAACAGTTGAAAGCTACAATCGTGCACTATAAGACACGTTCTAAAAAGCTGCAGTCGTGCAATCTACTTCTGAAGTCATTAGCATCACTTGAAAGACGCACTTGAGAAGGCAAACTGTTCCATAACTTAGTTAGTAAGTAAGTGAAAGAATTCTTCTTAAATTTAAGATTAAAGTTAGGTAATTTCAAATTCAAGCCCTCGCCTCTTAGCCTATACAGTGTACGCCTGTATTTAAAAAGGCTTCCAATATAAGTAGGTCCCGTACCATTTAAGCATTTAAAAAGAAGTATTAACGCCTGGTGTAAGCGCCTGCAATATTTCATGCTAGCCGTAGTGAGCAGCTCGTCGTATGACATTGACTTGTTGTGCCCGATTAATTTTCTCAAAATATAACAGTTGCCATCTTCGAGACGGTTGCGTTGACCCGTACCTATGCCTACAAACAAAGGACTGCAGTATTCGAGATGAGGTAATATAAATGCTTTATAAAGTTTTATCATTGCATCATGAGGAAGAAAATGCCTTATTCTTCCCAGTGCAGAGGCCTTCGCGTAGGCTTTCTTTAGTTGATCTGATATGTGTTCTTTATAGGATAGGTCCTTGTCTAGAGTAACTCCGAGAATCTCAATAGATCGGAGAAATTCTATTCTAGCATTATTAAGAAATAAAGAATAATGATAGGCACAGGGTCCGACAGATAATGCTTGAGTCTTAGTACTGTTCACTGTTAAATGGTTAGACTCAAACCACGACGAAAGAGTCTGAAGATCTTTGTTGAAGGAAAATTCTAGAATGGTGGGAGATACATCAGACAGGTAGGCAGTCGTGTCATCAGCCTACAGCCGCAATGAGACATTAGGAACACAGAAATTCAAGTCATTAATGAATATGTTGAACAGCAATGGCCCTAGTAGGGAACCTTGAGGAACGCCAGATTGAACTGTTTTGAAGTTAGAGCATACGCCTTCTAATCTGACACATTGTTGACGACCTAGCAGGTAGGTGGACATCAGTTCTAAGGCATGTGGAGAAAAGCCATAGGCCTTCAACTTCGCGAGCAGAAGGCTGTGGTTTATTGCGTCAAACGCTTTGCTCAAGTCTTTGTAGTAAAGACCAGACATTCTTCCACGAATGCGTCAATTGTATCTCCGGGACATACATTATTGTCCTGTCTTTAAACTGAGGGATCCGCGTGGCGGAAATTGATTATTGCGGCCACCTCATTGACTGACAACTTCTTCTAAGCGAGAATTATACTCATTTTGTGAAGTTGGTTCGGTCAGAAACTCGGCAGCTTGAGCTTCCAAACATGCACGATATCCTTCTTTGTGATAGGCAGTGAACATTGCAGGAGTGTAAAACTGATTACAGGTGGAATGCTGAGGAAACGCCCCGCAAATGCTTTCAGAAAATCCCTGACAAGCGTTACCATGACAACATTGACAGCAACAAAATGTCAGTCGGTCAACTTCATCCGCGGTAAGCTCAGGTCCAGATCCCCAGTTGTTTGCTTCAAGATCCTCGCCAACATCGCTGAGAGCATCCTTCCAGGACATTGGTTGTTCCATCTTGATACCCTTGTTGGGATGTCTCGGGGCAATGAAAAGCACTTCCGCTTCACCAACTTTGTGATCTTTGTCTTTATCCGGGTCTTTGTCGAAGTAATGGACTTTAAACCTGAAAGAGAAATGAGTCAGAGCAGGTTTTTTCCGACTTCTGATTTTTTAAGACATTGCTGCAATGGGTATAAACGTATAAACGCGCGCTACACTTGAGATAGTTAATCACCATATGAATAATTTGGTTCAATTCCAAATATCGAAGTTCTGGATTTCCTACTTATATCACTCAAACGCTTAAGTACGCGGCCAAAAAAATGCACTTTATTTGAGCGTTAATGTAGCATGAAAGTACTAATTGAAGACACTATTTTCTACGTCTCCTACTGGAGACGGGATTGCCATTCAAAACGGTCATTCCAGAGCCACCCTAAGGTCACTGTGGAGGCTTACAGCTAAGGCAAAGGCAGTACCTTCATTTTTTAGTTATTTTAAGACCCCGGGTGTTGATGCGGCCCCGGGAATCGAACCCGTGACTGACCTCCCGCTCTGCAGTCAAGCACTCTACCAACAGAGCTAATCCTGATGTGGTAAGGGTTATCTTCCTGAAAAAAGATAATCTTTTTTGTTCACCAACCTGTAACTTCTCGGTTGATTTCCTGGGGATTTTTCCACCAGTTTATTTCGAATGTCTTCAGTGATATCACGGCCATCAAGACCTGTAAACGAGCATCTCAACTTCTTTCTTGCCATATCTAGGGCCTTCAACAGGGTGTCACAGAATGCTTGTTCAGAAGACGCTCGCCCTCCGTACACCGTTATGATCTTTTTCAGCCGCAGCTTCAGAAGAGGGAGGATACCGAGATTTTCAACATGGCCGCCGTCGCTGAGCCGTAGAACTGGAGGTGGATTCGGCCCGTGATTAAGTATTCCAATTGTTTTACGAACGAAGCTTATATATGGCACGTGGACTGCAAAGTATCTATGAACAAAATTAATCAAAAAACCTCTAAGTTTCTTATCAATACTTGGTAATCAAAAATTAATATAAACAACACTTGCAAGCCCTCAGTCTCTTGGTTTGCGGTATATAGAATGTGTAACGAAACTGTAACGCGATCAAAATAATCCATACTTCAGATGTTTGGATGTTCTAACGACAAACACATCTCCTCTGGACCCTGTGGATGAGGTAGCGGTTGCGATCATGGTAGTTGTTAGCGGTAGTGATAGCGGAAAATAGGTAGTGGTGTTGTTATTGATCATAATAGTCGTATTGGTCTGGTAGTGGTAGCGGTAGTGATAATGGTAGGTCTAATGGTAGTGGTAGTGATAGTGGTTGCGGTAGTGATATTTGTAGTGGTAGAGGTAGTGGCAGTGTAGTGTCAGCAGTAACAGCAGAAGCAGGGTAGTAGTCATAGTTATACCTAGCGATCTTCTCCAGTTTGCCTGGATTGGCACTGCCTGTGGGAACGAGGGCTACAATAGTAAGCAGCACTAGAAGTAAGAAGAACGAAAGCACGCCGATGTCGAAGTACACTTCCTTCCCAGTTAGGTGATAAGAAATGTATCCAAACAAAAAAGGAGACACTCGGGAAATCTCTATGAAGAAAGGAAGAATCTACCGAAAAAGAAACAGAAGATAAAGTTGTTAGCTTCCTATTCAAAATATGACAAACTGCCAATCGATATTAAGCCCTAGGAAGCTAAGAAAAGGCGGGAAAATCAAATATCTTAGCTTATTTAAGTACTTGAGTTATCCGACTTATTTATTTCACGGTACGAGCCAAAGTTATTTCTATACCTCGGAGAAGCATTCGATTAGAGTGAAATATGACATTCAAAATGAATGGACTAGAGCAGGAGTGTCCCATCACCTGAAGTTACAAACACGAGGCGCAGCCGAATGTCTTAAACCTGACATCAGTCCACCGAACTGCCAAGTTATTGAACAGGTAATATACACTTAACAATCAAAATTCCGCCGACTTCTTAGCCCTTTCACTGCCAGAGTGTTTGAGGGGGTTTTGTAAGGTGACTCTAACTCTTGAGTCTATGGACGAAATCCTATGATGTGACCATTCAGATGAAAGCTCTCTGCCTGTACTTTCACATGATGCCATTTGTTTCTCAAAATTTTAGTAAATGAAATTTGGAACTTTGGTCGAAATTTGCCTTTGGCCACATTTCGTAGTGAAAGGATTAGTGAATTTGGAAATCCTGTTAGTCATTGAGTAGTATATTCAGCGTTAATGTACCTGAAGAAACTTGCTTTCTTTCCGTTCTTGTCTTGGATTCGCAATAAGTGAGGTACCCATGGCTATCCCCAAGGTGACTTTCAAGTCTTTAAATAACTCCTCGCCTCCTTCAAGGGCACCCATATGATGATCCACAGCTGCAGCTGAGGTTGCCATGGCATCAGAGAGATAAATATCTTCCGGCATCAGTTTACCTTCGAACTCTTGCTGGTCGGATGGACGGTCCAGCCTCTCAATTCCATGCGGTGACATCGACAGTACTTCATAGTCAGGTTCCCTGGGGGAGGTAGTGCGACGCCATCTATTGATAACTGAGTTGCTGATAAGAATCGGTTTGACATTATCAAGGTCTTTTAAAGTCAGAGGTCTGTCAGGATCAGTGTTCAAAGGTTCCGTGTCTTTAAAGGTGGGACAAGTGAGAAAACAATCGCGATAGGAAATACCAGCACAACCACACCTGCCAACACTTGTAGGGGAAAACAAAGCTTTCTGGAGCCTCCATCTGAAAAAATATTGAAAGAAAATATAATAAACCCCGCGGGCTTGCTCCCCATACCTGCCTATAGGCGAATCTTTCTTTACATTTTTTGCCTTATTAACATTTGTTTATCGCTATTTTATGAAGCTAACAAACCAAACGGGCTGAATATTGAAAGAGCCTAGCAATTTCAGTTATCTCTGAAAAATTGAGCTCGATATACCGAATGGCTTCGAAGAAATTTTCTTTTAAAAACCCGAAATTTAACAAATTATGTATGGCTCATTAACTTTTTTACCACCCAGCAATTTCGCAGTTTTTAATGGCTGATATTTCCTTCAGTATTGCTTAGAAAGAGCTGAAAATTGCGCAAATTGCTCAAGGTAGTGTGCTCCTTCAACTTTTGAATTTAGTTGGTATAAACCACCACGGCTTCTATGAGTTAAGTCGTATGCTAATGACGAAAAATGTAAACAATAACGCCAGCAAGGATTCTTCTATACGGAGAGGCTCCGTCCCAATGAGGTACCTTTGTATCGGAATGGGTGGGGAAGTCCGTCATTGCAGTCTAAGAAAGGTCCTAAAAGGGCTAACAGGCGCATTTTTTGGCTCTGAAAATGGCCACAAAGCTTTCTGGTTTAGTTTTATTTTTCATCTTTAGACGGTACACTTGCAACAGCTAAAAGGGGTGCAGCGTTCCAAACTGGTTTCTAAAAGAGGTACCCTTTGTCAATAGAAGCTATACGAAAGAGCTACCTTTTCTGGCAAAGATGGTATATAATAGGGCCCAAAAAAGAGGTTGGATCTCGGGGCGAAGCCTCCCCGTGTAAATGTTTTGTTGAATAACCACAATGAAACAGCTAGGTTATCGTAAGGATTTGAATCTGGTGAAACGTCTGTCACGTCCTGAGGTTAATCAATATATTTAATCTGGTGAAAGGAAGTTGAAGTTGAAGTTAATTTCAGAGTAGTCTGAAAAGACTCTGAAAGCCTAATATCTTGGAGAGAAAAAAAGAAATCTATTTACATGCCTAAAATAAATCTATTTACATACATGAAAAATGTTAGATATATTGTTATGTCTGAAAGGAGATTGCTTTCAGGAGTCTTCTAAAACCAGATAAAGTAGGCTCAGATCTTAGATTATTAGGTAGGGAGTTCCATTTCTTAGAAGCAAAGTAACGAAAAGAGTTGTGGCCATAAGTAGTAGTAGCAAGTTTACATAGTGATAAAATATTAGTTCTTCTAGAAGAGTATACAGACTGACGCAAAGTCTGAGCATGTCTTTAGGATATTTAGGAAAACTTTCATAGTTCAAACATTTGTAGATAGTTGCCCTTTCTTCAGCTGTTTCTTAGTGACAGGCTTTGAAAAAACACCTGATCACCATCGTAAGGCAGCAGTAAAGGGAGAAAACACTATTCCAAGGCTATCGACAGGGACACCCAACGACTGTTTTCCGTAAAATATCTGTTCGGAGAAGCAAATATTGGCTAGAATTTTCTATAATTGCTTGAGGACGGCCACAAATTTCTAGATGACCGTTCCATTCATGTACAATTTTTGAAACTTATCTAATAAATTCCCTACGATTTTCTGAAGCTTAATTTTTCACATTTCACTCTCCATGTAATGCTGTTTTTCGTAGAAAAAAGAACCTAAAATTTTCGGATTCAAAAATGTGACTGAGATGGGAATCAGAAGAATTCTCACATTCGTAAAGCGATAAAATGCATCTAAAACTTTCGGGAAATAAAACTGAAGCCCTCGAAATTTCGAAAAGACTCAAGATTCCCTAGGATGACCGAACAGATACCAATTTTATAGCGCCGCTTAGAATGTATTTCTAGAGATCTAAAACTACTCTGGATAGCGTAAAAAGTGTTTTGAACGTATTTAGGAAGAAATCGTCGTTGGGTGCCCCTGTATTGACCACCCAGCAATAGTGGCGAAAAGGTGTATTGGCGCGATTCCTTACATTTTATTCATTCACGTTTATATGAAAAGTAAATGGACTAGAACAGAGCTGAACCTACCTATTGTAAATGTGTCCAAGACGTTGTTGTATGGTACCAATCAAAGGAGAAACAAACAGTATGAGGCCAGAAAGCCACATCAATTGTGTAAACAACGTATGGGTGTAATGTGGAAAGGTGGTGTCCTTATAAACTCGCCACATGACAACATATGAATAGAAATAGACAATCACAACAAGGGTAGCGTTTGTCCTCATAACCGGGAAAGCAAACCACAGCAAGATTGTGGGAACAACTATTAGAAATTTCATCCATGTTGGAATGAACTCCAACACATCGTGAAAAAACCAAGGAAGAAACAACAAGCCAAAAATAACTCCGCAAGACGTGGCCATGAAAGCTAAGGCACATTTGATTTTAGGGAAAAACGACCCAAGGAAATGAGCGAGAAATACAACAAAGAGTGGAATACTAAAGAGAAGAAATCTCTCAATAGCCTTCTTCTCTCGTCGATGCTGACAATCTTGTATTGTTTCGTGTAACTTCAAGGTTGTGTTGTCACATTTTGTGATGATTCCACCGCGTAGGACGCTGCCTGCACACAGATCTATGACGTAAGCAAATGGACATGCGTAAGCCGCCCACAGGAACAACGGCAGCACAAGCGCAACAAATAGAGGTAATAAGAACAGAACCACAGAGTCAAGAAAACCATGAAAAGGCCTCTGCCAGTCGCAAAATATTCCACTTCTTCTGCGGAGATGATCAAAGAATTTGAAATGCCATTCCTTGTTGTCCTCCTTTCCATGACGGAATTTCCAGTCCATGTAGGCACAGCCTGTGTAACCACCCCCTGACACACAGCTCAGGTAATCCAGATTGGCGTTTTTTTGAAGCAGTCTGCGCAGGACACCAGAGCAGAAGGCCGCTGACCTCACACCGCCGCCTGAGAAGGCTACGCCAACTTGAGCCATCAGAAGATTAGCAAATGGTCACTAAGCTGCTGAAAATAAGAGTTATATAATAAGAGCAATACATTTACTAAGGGACGGACCATTAGAAAACTTATTGGGGGGGGGGGCGAAGTAAAAAAAAAATATTAGCGCAAGGGAAAATTAAATGAAAAAAAATTGATGCACGCCAATTAATTCTAAAAAATATTCATGCTATGGCCTAAAAAAAATTCATGCAAGGAATTTGATAACAAAACAAAATGAATTCCCCGCCTCCCCCCCCCCCAAAAAAAAACTTTTCTCAAGGTCCGTCGCTAATCTCACTGAAAACAGTGTACACGTAAACTACCGTTGCTTTTATTTTGATATAACGCTTTCCCGACTACTTTTAGGTTCCCCCTTATCCAAAGCGTCAGCGGGGAGTATTACTCAGTAAAAAATTCAGAGGTAGATAGAGGAGAATATTTGAGATTGATTCTCAATGGCGTAACGCGCAAATGACGTCAGCTGGTCAGAGTTACTATTTTGCAATTTTTGTCTGAGTTTTGTCATTTTTCTCATTTTAATGACAAAAAGAAAGACAAACATGACATTTTAATGACAAAAGTCAGACAAAAGTGAGGAATTCGACAGTGTTCAGTGAATGTTAAAGTTTCGGATCTATAAATAGTAACTGCGCGCAGCGCTATCGCAATGACAAAGACGTTGGTACATAATTAGAATTCTTTTTCTCTTTGAGGGGGAGGGATTGTAGGATGCGGACGGTGGTATAACAGGGAAAATGAGGACACAAGGCAATTTTTGATCGGAACACAGGCAACAAGAACCAGACTAGGGGGGCAGACTCGGGTACATCAAATATATTTTCAAATTTATAACAGCATAGCAATGAAACAGAAACCAGATGTTCTGCACTTCAGATCAACAATGTGTGCCGAAAGTGTGCAATGTCGCCGCTTCGCGGCTTGCTCTCTCTTTCTGGAAGAAAAATCAAGACAAACCTCTGGGACCAGGGTACCAGCTCGCATGAACCGTTACACAAATCACTGCTTCTAATACACGCCACTGGGGGGTGGGGCACTCCCCTATTTCGCCCAAACGGCCATGTACCACTGAACAGGGTGGGGTTTTATGGTTTTCTTAAACAGGGTATGCATCGTCTTTAGTTAAAGAGGATGTCTTTTTGGACTGGAGCCCTTTGAAATAGTGTGAAGGTTGGCGGTGACTCTCTTGTCTACTTTTGTGGTACTAACAATTTTTTTTCCAAAACAAAAGCTGATTTCATGATGTTGGTGTGGGAAACGAAACGAACCAAGGTCATTAGATAAGGCCTCTTGTCTTAAACAGGGAAGCGAAATGAACGATTTTTGTCCTAAAGGGGCTGTGTCACGGCAGTCCAGTTCATTTTGTTTTATTTTTCCAATTACTCGCCCTCAATCGCTATGGAACTTAAATTAGGCAAAGAAATTACATGTAAAAATCACAAAATCAGAGATTAGAGACAAACAAATGTGTCCCCTAAGCATTTTTTTTTGAAGCTGCAAACAGTAGAGAAAACACTTTGAAAAACTGTTAGGCTGAACAGTTTTTGAAAACCCTAATTTCAGTCCGTTTCAGTCTTCTTGAACAGTTTTGCCCATCCGTGGCAGCTGTTGTATCTGTTGTGTTATTTTAGCCTTACTTTAATGTTTTACGCGGTTATTTTTATGTTTCTTTTAATTTAACGGGCATTTTTGCAATAACCTGATTTGGCTGAATTTCGTGACACAGCTCCTTTAAGTCTTTAAAAACAGGGTCGTGGCCCGAGAGGAGGGGTACTCCCTTATATAAGCAATATAGGTATGTAGCGCTCCAAAAGGTAGTTAGGGTTTTTCCGCCGTTTCGGTCTGAAAACGGGTACACATTTTGCCTATATTGGTCTGGAATCGGGTATAGTTTTCGAGGGAACCAAGGGAGTGTATGAAGGTATTTGTCGTTTCAATTCTAAATGAACAGGAAAGAAAGAGTAATATACGAATTCGAAGTGGGTTTTATTTGGCATTCTAATGTAACGCCTAATTTAAGTAATGATGACATAATTTCTTAGTGACCAGGTCTGAAAACAGATATGGAAAATTACAGTTTTTTGGTCTGAAATAGGGTCAGGATTTTGAGAACCGGGTGGCACACCCCCCACCAAGATTTCCCAGCAGTACCCCCCGGGGGTCAGGGTTTGATGGCCTTGGCGGCGCACCTTTACCCTGACTTTCCATGACTGCTCCCCCTGGACCGTACTGTATTGATTCACGGCTGATATTGCATTGATAGTGACAGACCCTGATAAGAGGAACACCGTGGAAAAAGGATTTAGATGTCTTGGATTCAAAAAACAGCGGCTTCGACTTACAGGTGTTTCATGTGTTACGGAATTATTATGGCATCGCTTAACAACGATCGTCAATCACTTATACTTATAATAAATCTTACTCATACTACGGCTTGGATTTTTTACTTATATCGTTTATCATCATACATCACTCTTTTAAGCGCCTCGTTACCGTAATTCTTTCTCATCAATTTCTGTTCATTTCGACGTTCTATTAAAAAAGGAAATCATAGAATAATTCGTGCTGTAGTAGTGGCATTGCCCATCGATCGTGTTCGATGAGAGTTTGTTGACCTTTTTTTTATTGATAGAATTGTTAAGTAACGCCTAAAAAACTATAATACTGTTACTGCATTTGAACTTACCTTAAAGTTTTTAGTCCGTGCTGTTCTGTTATTCTGATCCACGAGATCGGCAGCGTCGGTAATAACTCTATACAGCTCCAACACGCCGGCTTAACTGAACACCTTGCAAGACAAATTGTTTAAGTGATATTAAGTGACCTGCTGACAGATACTGATCACAATTCGTTCCCTACACACGCAAAAAACAAATATCCTGACATAATATGTGACGATCGTGGGTTATGGGAGAATGACTCAACGATCAAATTCGCAAAAGATACAACAATATTGATTTTGAGTGTAAATGTTATATAATTTCTATAATTTAGAAATTTCTAACTCTGAAGGAATTTATCTCCCAAAAAATTCGTGCAGTCCAAGTTTCGGGCTTTTTTATCAGGCAAAAAGCATTCTTTGAGTATTATGAATATTTTAGAAAGTTACCTCCTGCAGATACGGTATACAAGAAGTTTATGATTATCGCGAATCAAGCGTTCTTTTATTGTGTTGCTTTGCATTATATAAGGTAATTGTAGAATAACTGATCGCTCGTTGATTGGTCGAGAGGTAAGGTGTATGAAGACATAGACCATGGCAAGAACGTGATGATGGCGCAGTATATTTTTAACTGTCTCTCGGAAGCTATTTTCCAAGAAACTTCGTCATAAATAGACTATAAAAATTGGCCTTGTTTTTTTCATTTATCTTTTTGCCGTCAACAATTTGCCGTGGTCTAAATTCTGACGTCACAATCTTTCGTGATTCCGTATTTTGACGTCATTTCCGTGGTATCAGTTTTAACAATAACTGACAATATCGATGAATCGGGAATGGTTTGTGAGAGAATCAAGACCATGAAATGACGTGGGGATGGCACGGTTTTAAAAAAGGCAACAATTTTCCGTTGTCCACACCGACCGTAAGAAAAGACGTCAAAATGTTAAGAACTCAAGTGCAAACCACGAGCCGCAAGTAAGTGTGGCTTCACGCAAGTGTGGCACAGATTTAAACATTTTCATTGACTTAGTATCTACAGTAGGCAAGAATGTAGATTCTCGACCAATCAACGCGCGAGAAATCGCTCAGTTACTGGAGAAACTCTTATAGGACCTTCTAGACCCCCAGAAATGATGTCAAAATGTTCAAAACTCAAGTGCAGTACAAACCGCAGGCGAGTGTCATCAAAGTGTACCAGTTTGGAACATTTCAGTTGACGTCGGTAAATTCTCAGGGTCTATATCAGAATTGGTCTAAATTCCCAAGATTCCTGCCAAAATTCATTGTAATTTACGCAGCGATGTGTTAATTTTTTTTTAACATTGACAGAGTTCTTATTGATTTCCAGTCCCCCGATTTTATTGACTGACAGTTTATATTTAGATTTCAGTTGTTTTATTCAGGGAAATTTTTTAGGTTTAGCCTGAGTTGCGGTAAGCCATTGGACACGAAAGATTAATCTTTAGGTTCGATAATTTTTTCAATATCTTTCTTTTATGATTTGACAATTTTTATGCTTTCGTGATTCTAGTTTACCCTGGATTTCGAAACAAGTTGTCAATGCAATCTTGCGGAATAATTGTTTTATTAAAAGAAATCATAAAGATCGACAGGCGTCCTAAGCCCACACATTACGAGTGTGGAATGTAGATTTACTGTCTCTCAAGAGAGTCGGTGTCGCGTTACATGTGACCGTTGAGACGTTGTATGAGAAATAGAATACTAAGGTCTGCAAACGGTAAATATCATTATATTTTACCTTTTCTTCTATAAAATAATAAGTTGGAGCTTTTGAATCCCACCATTTATGAGTAACTAAGCAAGTTAGCCATTTTAAGCAGGAAACGATTAGCATTATTTCACGCATCCCTCCTTGAATCCGTCTGTCCCCCACCCCCCTCCCCCCGCCAGAAAAAAAAAATAGCGTGACAGTATAACGTAACTAAGTTGACGTAGCCGGAAATTCCAAAAATTAATATTGCTCTGCGCAACTTAAGTTTTGTTTTTGTCTGATATTGCGTTTAAAGCCTTATACATACCCAACAAGCGCGAGTGAAATAATTGTTTTATTTATATCGAAGAGGTTGTTTCTACAAGATGCTTAGGTGTCCAGATAGACAAGCCTCTTAAATGCCTGTATCGGGAAGCGAAGTCATTAACACAGAAGTTGAACTTACTTAAATCATTCTACTTCCTGCCTAGACAGGCGAGAACTGGTTTCTGTTTTGGGGTTATTTTGCCCTCTGTTACGTATGGTATGTTAGTTTAATTTGGAGCTCTTGTGGTCAAGTACTTTTCTCAAACCTAGAATCTAT